CCATCTGGGATGTGGTACAGGAGAGGCACCCGTGCTGAACAGCAGAAACAGCCCCGGGCTGCATTTTGTGAAGGGCCACTGGGTACTGCAGGGGGTGCTCCACTGCCAGATGTTGTGCCTGCATCAGGTAGAGCCCGGAACAAGGACACAGCTAATGTACTTTGCCTCACATTGGTGTTCATTCCAAGAGAACAGAATACAGCAACATAAAACACTGAATCCTGAAACACACCACAGACCTCAGGTCTTCACAATTTGCTCTTATCAGCATACACTGCTTGCTTGTATAGGCAAAACCAATGATAACAAGAATATAGATTCTCCCTTTATCTCACCTCCCAAGGAAGGTGAAGCTATTATTGAAGGCTGACCCCCTAAATAAAAGCCAGGCTATTTCTTTCATGAAAAATTTAAAAGTTATATTCACATGTTACAGTAGCAACCCACAGCAGAAGCAAAACAGAGCCACAGAAGCAATGGCTTTCAGTTTTTCAGTTTCACAGTTTTTAAAAGCAACATCAAGGACCAGATTAAAAGGGTGAGTTAAGTGAGGTCAAGGTAGTTCCGTTTCTTTAAAATGCAAACATTTCATTTTGATTTAGACATAGTTTGAAGAAGATTGATACAGCTTTTACTGAGATGATTTCAATGTGAAAAAAAAAAAACCAACAAGAAAAACACATTTGTTAAGAGCACGTTATAGTCAGGCTTTGTATACACAGTGTAAATAAACAGAGCTTGGTAAAGCTCTAAGCCATCAAACAGATGAAGAACAAGCCTTGGAAAACATTTATGACCAGAAACCCTTCAAGAAGCCCAGCTGCAAACATTTGAAGCACTCATTCCAGTGATCAGAAGTACCGTCCTCCTGGATACCACCATTTCTCAGAGCCCACTGTAGGCAGAGAGAAGAGATACTAAGCAACCAATACAAAAACACTTAGTAGCACACAGTTTTACATCCACGTATGCTACTAAGCTTCCAAGTCTGGATCCCAGCCCTAGATCAGAACAAGAACTAAGCATGCAACCTTTCCTTCACCTCCCCCAAGACAACTCAGGAGCATGATCTGGAAGCAGCCTCCAGACAGGCCTGGCAAAGCCAGGTGTCCACAGCACCGGTTACATCATCAAGCGCCCTTGTCCTGAAGGAGCTGCAGCTCACCCAACAGCAGCCACAAGCATAGCCTGAGGTTTTGGGGACCGGACAGCTCAAAACATAATGGCAATACACAACTGGAGGCCACACAGATTTGGGAACTGAACAAAGTGGACCTTCCTCAGAGCAAGCTGGTCTTCTTCTGCAGCAGAAAGACAGCTTTCTGAAAAAGAAATTAAATCTTATCCAGCGCATTTATTTAACGTGGAGTCTGGAAAATTTTCAAAATGAAAGAGAATAAACATGATAATCTTTCAAAATTGAAAACGGATTGCCTTTTCTGATGATCTTTCCAAAGTGTCTGGGCATCTGAGACAGGAAGAACTTCATAGCCCAGTTCAGAAAAATCTCACCCAGATCCAACTCCCAAACCCTCACTTTGCACCCATCCACAGAAAACATGCACACACACATACAGCACCCTGAGGCAACAGAGATGAGTCTTCTCTCTTTCTTAATCCATGAGGATAGAGCAGGTGAACTCTGCATTTGAGCAGATTCTCTCTATATTAAATACACTTTAAGCATGACCTTGCTAGGTTCACTTTCTCACTCATTTGCATTATGAGCCTTTCTTACACTTCTGCAAGAAGTTCACATTTCAGCATTCCTGTAACAATCAGCTCTCCCTCCTACTATCATTTGTTGATTTGCCTCATGATGTTTGCAAAAGTTACAATTCCTCCAGCCTATTCTATTTACTTTTTTTTTTTTAAAACAATCCAGTTTACACTGAGTACATATTCTATACTAATGCTCCCAACAAAATACATTACATACTTCAGAAGATGTTTACTATTAAAACAAGGTGGTCCCATTAAATCATTTTTTGGAGATATCAGATCCTGTGTACAATGAGCAATTTCTTTCTTGACCTCCCAACATGTAAATAAGTTCTTTGTAATCATTATGAACAAGCAAAGGAGCCTAATTTGTAGGAAGCAATATTAACTAATGCAAATTTAGTAGCAACTAACTAAGTAAGAGACAAAGGCTTCCAACAGGATAAGAAAGCATTTGAGAGATAGGATTTCCAGCTTTTATCTTCCAGTCAATGATTGGTTATAACTTGTCCAAGGTCACATTTAACCTACATTTTAGTTTCCGTAAATGAAACAAATAATGTTAAACCCACATTCTGGGCTTCATTTGCCTTACAGCCATGTTAGAAAGCTAATTAACATTTGTACAATGTTGTGGTAGCACAACAAGTTCTAACAAAGCACAATGTCTCCAGCTCTGGTGGTATCTTGTAATTGCTCTTGCACAGATCATAATTTCAGATAACGATGACTGTAAGACAATCCGTCACAAACATTTCCACGTGCTTATAACCGTCCAAGGTGTTTATTGCTGTGGTTGAGCCTTTGCCACCTTTGTCTTTACCCAAAGGTGGATGTGCCAAACATTGCCAAAAGATTTTTGAAGGTTTGAAGTAATTTTCCCAGCACAAATCAGCTCTGAATACTTTTAAGGCTGAAGTCTATGATTTCAAATCCGAATTATGCAGTTCTTCACAAGAAAAGTCACACCAAGATTGAAAAAAAGTTAAGATAAAACTTGACAATGTAAAACTGAAATGTTAAGCACAGCGTGGAAAAAAGCCTGTATGCCTGTGACTGGATATGAGAGCCACTCTCCTGCAGGTAGCAAACAGCAACACAGAAGTTCACCTCCTGAGGACAGACCGAAGTACGTGAAAGACAACATGAGCATGGTCAACATAACTGCCAATTCAGCTTCCAGCTAAAGTTTACAGAGGACTTTGAGAAGTACACTCTTCTCCTCCCTCCATAGGGTGCCCTATGATCTGCACAGAACATTTCAAATTTGCTCCCTTAAGAAAACATATCGCAGTTATCACTGCGCATGGCCAGGCTGCTGCTAATCAGGGACAGGAGTCAGCCAAGGGAGGAACAGCCCCAACCCCAGGTGTAACAAACAGACCATGAGCACCACTACCACCACAGGAAGGAGGGAAAGGCTAACAAAGCCTGCAGGACTATGCCTCTCCACTTACACCCCTGCTTCTGCAGGTTACAGGCAGGCTTATTGCCACAGGTGCAGCATAGCAGAAACACATGGTGCTTGCTGCAGCCTGGGGTTACACCTGAGCTCATAACTCTTGTGATCAGAGCTGGCTCTCAGCACTCTGCTTCTGGAAGCATGATGCAGACAAATGGAAGTTGGCTCTGGAAACAGGCAGCATGGGCCTGGGGTTTATTAGCTCAGGCTTTGCACCATGCAAAAGAATATAAGCTGGCCCTAGAGGCCAAATAGCTTATTAAAGTGATACTGAGCCCGAAGTAATAAATGTTGACAGGTCCGAACTGACTCTGCATGACTCAGCTCAGGTGTGTCTGCATCTGTGGTACAACTAGAAGAGCCCACTCCAAAACTGACAGTTCTCTATCCGACCTCAAAAATCACTTATCCCTGTAGGAAACAAAGGAGTTAACAGTTGCTCTCTAATAGGGTTTCTGTTCTTCTGAAAGAACCACTGGGAGGCTCAAGAAAAGGAGGTATCTGGCTTTACAACTCTGAGACTCATCTTCCATAGCTCAACCAAGTTAGTGCTATCTCATAGTTTTTTTAAGTTACAAAATCATACAGTTTTAAAACATTCAGTGCTTCACTTAGCTTGCCAGAAAGGTACAACAAGGAAAATCCAAGCCAAGTGTGATGCTGCTGCTGAGAGGCATCAGAGCAGGCAGCAAGAATATTTTGTGCAAAGGAGAACCCAATATTACAGACAATATGAGAAAGATCCCCCAAACCCTGTCATCCTTTCTTTTAACTCTCTCTGCTAATCCATTCCTCCAATAACTGTGTGAATAGACCAAGTAATTCACAGATTTAAATGAGATTCTTCAGGGCTATCCCGTAACAACCCAAATGGCCTGGCTTAGTCTGTACTGAAGGACCAAAGAATGGAAAGGAGTTTAAAAAGAAGACAAAAAAGAATAGCTGAATGATGATAGGGGGGTTGAAAAGATGGAATGTAACCAAGAAAAGGCACAGAAAACTACTTTATTTATTAGCAAAGCTTGAAAGTTAACTGCACTGAAGTTACCTGCAAAGAAAAGTTACTGGAAGACAGAAAGAGTGAATCCAAGCCACAAAAAGGAACATTTTTTGCCCAACACAATGAAGGCTGAAGTGCTTGAGAAAGCAGCACTGAAATTCTGAAAAGTCGGAAACTAAACTGCCATCTTGTGAAGTTACACTTTCCCCACTTTGGTTTGCCACCGAAGCAAGGTACATATTTTGTAGGCTCTGTGCTCAGCCCCAAAGCCACGCTGTGAGAAATGTAGGCTGCAGGAAACCATTCCGTTACTTTCACTTGCAGCAAGCAAGAGAGCCGAGGCAGCTCACCTAACCCCATCAGCACGCACTGCAAACGTTCGTTTAGATGACTGCCTTAAATGCACGTCTGAGTTGGTCAGGGAATGAAGCTGCTCCGTCCTTAGGAACCGCCATAAGGACACCGCCAGCAACAGCTCCGGCAGCTCGCAGTCACCTGTCCTCTCCGCGCATTACAGATGCAGCTCCCTACTGTGAGAAACCCCACCCAGGGACAAACGTCCTCCCGCATAGGGAACTCCCGCGTCCCCCTCGCATCCTGACGACCGTTCCCTGCAGCTCCCCGTGGGGCAGAGGCGCGCATTGCGGAGCCGAGGCAGCGCTCCCACAGCCGCGCACCTCGCGGACACCCGCAGAGGCTTCCCGACCGGGGCTGCTATTCCCTCCTCCGTAACCTCGCGGCGGCGCAGCTCCGTGCCGGCCACGTGCCGCCCGCCTCCCTCAGGAGGGATTTTCCCCGTTCACCCGCAATACTCACGTTTGATGCACCTCTGCGAGCCCGTGGCTTTGCTCCAGCCGTGGCAGCACTGCCCTCCGCAGACGTTGACCCTGCGAGAAGAGCAGAGAGGGACGACGGTCCGGAGGGGCTCCCATCGGCCCCCGGCCCCTGCACGGCCGGGACGGGAGACAAAAGGGCGGGAAGAGCGGAAAGCCGCGAGGAGCCGGGACGGCCGGGGGATGAACGCGGGGCCGCCCCTCGCCCGCTCGACGCCTCGGGTGCCCGAGGGGAGCGGGCGGGTAACGGCGCGAGGCGCCGAGAGCGGAGGCACGGCACGGCAATCGGGGCACCTTACCCCGGTAGCGGCGGCAGCGGGTGCTTCTGGCGGGGCGGCGCGCCGCTGCTGTTGCCGTGAGGTCCCGGCGGAGGCTTGGGCCGCGGGCCGAAGCGGGCCGGCTTGGCGAAGGAGGAGGCGGCGGAGTTGGAGTGGCTCTGCCCGACGGGGCCCAGGCGGAGCTGCACTCCCGCGCCTCCCGCTTTGCTCATCCGCCGCGTGCGCTCCGCGGTGCCGTAGCGCGCGTTGAGCTGCACGTTAAAGGTGCGCTGCTGCTGCCCCGCGAGGAGGGCCGGGCGCTGCTGCCGGCCGCCGGCCGATCCCGCCTGGCCGGGGTGCAGCACGTAGGTGATCCTTCGCAGCCTGCCCTTCTCGGCGGCGGCGAGCGCCGGGGAGAGCAGCGCCCAGGCGCACAGGAGGAAGCCCCATCCGATCCGAGCCATCTCTGCGGCCGGAGCCCCCGCCAGCTTCGAGACCCCCGGCGCCTGGGGGGGAGGCGCGCGCAGCGGGGCGCGGGGCCGTCCTCCTCCCGCCGCCCCCAGCCCGCAACGGGGCCGGGAAAGGAGAGCGCCCCGAGCCGGCCCCTCCCGCCCCGAGCCGCCCGCGGAGTTCAGCGTCCCGCGGAGCGGGAGCACATCGCTGGGGAACGGCGGCGGTGCGAGCGGCGAGCCGGTCAGGGAGGAGGAGGAGCGGGGGGGTGGTAGCGACGCGGACCAGATGCGAGCGGTGCCGGGCTCCGCGCGGTCTGTGAGCCGGCCCGGGCTGAAAAACGCCTTTAAGAGTCGTGCGGCGGGCGAGCGAGCGGGGGGAGGGAGGGGACGGCGAACGGGAGGAGGGAAGGGGCGCCGCGGCCCCGGTGCCGGCCCCGCGTTGGCCCCACCGTGACGTCAGGGGGCGCGGGGCCGGCGCCAGGTAGCGGCGCGGGGGGCGCCGCCGGTGCGGGTGCCACGCGGATGGCGTAAGGGACGCGCGCAGGGCAGCACACCTGGTGCGTTCGTGCGCGGGGCGGCGAGCGGCGGCAGCGCAGCCCCGGGGTAAGGGCCCGTCGGGGTCGGGCAGTGGTGTCGGGGAGCCGAGGCTGGGAGCCCCGAGGTGCTCCGTCGCTGCGCAGGTGGGAGCGCAAGGAAAGCACCGAGGCTTGCAAGAGGTCGGGCGCGCTCCTCGGCCCGCGCGGTCGGAGCCGGGGGCTGGAGACCACTCGGCAGAGCCTCGCGGCATCAGGGGCGCCGTTCTCTTTTGTTCGTTGTCGTTGTTGTTGTGTGTTTCCTAAAGAACAAAACACAAACCCGGAGCGTGCCCCAGGAATTAACGTGTAAGCAGAACCGCCTACGTTTATCGACAGTGTATCTTAACTGATGCTACCTTGTAGCGCTGTAAATAAAGTTTGCAGAATGCCGTGAAGAGTCCATCTTTGAAAATACTCAGAATCTGATGCGTTTGAGTTCTTCCCCCACCACTCCCCCCCCAAAAAAAAAGCCTCTCGGAGAATCAAACAGCTTGTGAATGCAGCAGCTTGGAATCTAGGTCTTCTTCCGCAGGTCCTCCTCTGCTCCTTTCCAGAGCTTTAAGGACACTGACCCTGCCTCCAAACACATGAGATTTTCCTCTTAAACGCCATTGGCAGAGCCGGCACGGGGAGCAGGAGGGTTTCGCATTGACAGGATTCCAGGCAAAAGCCAGAGTTAAGAGCACAGCGGTCCCTTCCTCCTTAGTTCCCATCTATTTAAAACTGCTCTAAAATAGATGTTTTAAATAGATGAGAGATGGGAGCTCTCTGTAGCCACCGCGTAAGGGAGCCACATTGACAACAAAGGCTCCCGCCTCAGTGCCCTGAGTTTGAGGAGAAAATGGCACCGGAGGCTCAAAAAATCCCCACGGGGCTACAGTAGAGCCTGAACTCCAGAGGTTTGGAAGGAAGCTGAGATAAAGCTTAAAAGATTCACCTTGAAAATAATTCAGAAATTAACTGCTGAGACCGCTGCCTCCTCCCTTGGCGAACGTGTACATCTGCGGTGTTTTCTTTAACATCCTGATCAGCTGAACTGCTCACACTTCCAAAGGATAATTACTGTCAATCCTAAGCACACTAAATATTTTTACAGTGTTTGAGGAACAAAAAAATACCTTGAAACCAGAGAAGTGGTGAGAAGACTGAGTGAGCAGCGTGACACTGATGTGGCACTCGGGATTGTTGCTCTGCACAAGGCCGCTGTCCTTCAGAAGTTTTCCGGCATGAGATCACAACTACTTGTGTGGCTGGGGTTGTTGTACAGAGGGCAAAAGCTGCATCATTCCACAGCAGGAGCCAGTTGCTTTTAAGAAATGTGGGTTTTAAGTCACGTCACACAGAGTGCAAGGGTGGTGTATCACTGGCTACTGTACAACAAATGGTGAGGGATCGCAAGAGAAATAGATCCACGAAGGTGGATGCCTTGCAAAAAATGATCTAGGTTCAGAAACATTACTGAAAAAATTCTAACTATTAGCTGAGATTAACTGGTTAAGATCAAGCCTTCCTCACAAATTCACACAGCAGATCTCTTTGTCTTCTCCCTTTTTTTTTTCCCCTCTTACACGGAAATCCACACATTTCTTGTCTGTTTGTCTGGTTTGGGTCACTTTTTTTAAACTTTGTTTCCCTCCCAGCTCTGGAAAGTTTAGGAGTTAGGGACCTGGTTTGGCTGCATTAACACACTGAGTTGACCACAGAAGTTTTAAGAGCTAAAAAGAGAACCTCGGTGCTGCTGCAGTCAAAAGCTCGGCTCAAATTTTTTTTAGCATATAGAAGTCCCTGCTTCTATAGACCAAGACACATCTAACCAGCACCAAGTGGCTGTGTGCTGCCCTTTCAGAAACAAGCCAAGAATTTACTACAGCTCCTTGAGCAAACAGTATCTGCAAGAGAGAAAACTCCTCTGGCTGCCTCCTGCCTCCAAAAGAAAAGGCATCAACTGGGCGTGCTATCAGATGCAGGAGTTAGCATCCTGCACCACCTGCCAGCTACACCACTTCTGTTCCTCTCCCCTTCTGATTTGCGTCTGAAGGGTGAACACAGAGAAATATAGAGAAGGGTCCTCAGACTGTACAGCTTGCACCAGAGAGGCTGTGCTTTGGGTGATCTGTGATTAGGGTTTGGCTGAGGTGGGCTGAGCTGGTCGGAACACCATGAGCAGGAGACTTGCTGTCTGACAAGATGGCAGGATTGTTTCAAGGGTTAAAGACTTAATGAACCAGGGAAAGACTTAATGAACAAGTGTGAGGGTGACAGTATCTGCAGTAAGAAACAAAATAATACTACTCAAACCAAAATGAGAGAGCTAAGCCTCCATATACACTTCTGTTTCATTCTCATTACTTTGGGGCCAGCTGCATGAGGTATGTGCAGAAGGCCTTCTGAACAAAGCTGGCAGTGCTCAGACCTTCACAATTCTTTCTCAGCAAACAAAGGGGACAGGACTGCGGCCTTGTGTCTCACAAACTGTGGGCCTGGGACCCTGGTTTGCCAGGCCCTTAGCAAGAGGCTGCAGGGTAGATGCATGCTATGTTGAGGGTGAAGTGACCTAAGCGTGGCTGATCACAGACTTACATTTAGGCACTGGAATGGGCCGTCCAGGGAGGTGGTGGAGTCACCGACCCTGGAGGTGTTCAAGGAATGTTTGGACATTGTGTTGAGGGACGTGGTTTAGTGAGAACTATTGGTGATTGGTGGATGGTTGGACTGGGTGATCCTATGGGTCTTTTCCAGTCTTGGTGATTCTATGATTCTATGATAAGCAGCAGTGCCACAGAGTATTCCTGCAACTTGACGTCCAGGTTAGCCAGGCAGCAGCTGAACAATCAGAAGTTCTCAGTGTGTTGCACTGAAAGGCCAGCTAGAGGTCCTGGTGCTTGTCTACACCCACTGGTCAGGACGCCTGCAAGAAAAGTGGAGTTGGGAGCTCATGATACATGTGAGGGTTTCACTTGTACACTCTGACCAGCCCTAGTTATGGCTACAGAAGAGCACTTTCACAGTAGCGAGAGCCCACAAGCTTCAATAACATTACTCCAAACTTTTGGGAAAAAGCAGACTCTACAATTTCTTGTAAACTAAAAAATCAGCTGGCAATCAGTTTCTAGTTATTTAAGTGTCTGCAAAGAAGTCCCTGTATTTTGTAGGTTAAATTGTACCTTTAGCCACAGCTTCCTAGATGTACATGTTACTCTAATCGAGAAGGTATTTCTTTTGAATGAAAGTGAACAGTTTAACTTTACTGTCATCAGAGTAGGGAAAAGAATTAACTGACCTTTATTATGTCACTAAAGCGCACATGACTCTAAATACATAGATTAAGTAGATTTGCAGAGCAAGACCACACTGATGGTAATACAACTTTTATGAAGTATTTTTTGTACAGAACTGTACCTTCCAGCCTTCAGGCAGAAACTGTGTTTACTCCATGGTCAGCAGTTCCTGAGTGCTACCACCATATAATTATTAATGTTTCACAAAAAGTCCAGCTTTCTTGGTCTTCATGTAGGCATTTACATTCACTTCCAAGGAACTCAGATGGTCAGTCTCGGCGTGGACTAATGTCTGAGGCCTTGGAAAGAAGTGGCTTGACTTTGCTGAAGCCATTCGCTGCTGGTGGCCCTCTTCCATGCCTCGTGAATCTGTAATGATAAATCTTTTTGTGCCTCAGGGCAACTTACATTATGTTACCTTAGGTAAACACTCTTATGCTTCCTCCTCCATCAACATGCTACCATAAATGCACCTTTGTAGCACCTTTCCCACCTCCTCCTCAGAAAGAAGTCTTCCTCTCCCCACGGCGATCATGGTTCTGTTGCATTGGACGCAGTACAAACATGCCAAGAGATGAATGATACCAGCTTTCCCAATTGGGAATCACAAGTACCTGAAGCAGACTAGTTTTTCAGAGATGAACAAGCTTTTATGATGAGATTTACAGCTTGCTCTGTATATGAATTCACATCTTGGAACAACATGGGTTCTGTGTGGTATTCGGTGTCTGAAGTGGTCAGATTAACATACAGGTAGTCTGGATGGGAAAAGGAGACAGACTAATGATAGTCAAGGTACTGATCATCTTTCCCCTTGGACTACTTCCACAAGAGGCTGCTACAAAGACTATTTTTTTTTCTTTTTTTTGGGGGGTGGGGTGGGGTGGGGGGGTGGGAGAGGCATTAAGTCACAATGAAATTTGGATTCATTTTGGCAAAAAATCTAATGCCAGTCTGTCACTGTTGACCACTGCCATATCCAGCAAAATGCTAGAAGCAAGTAGGACTTGGCTTATTTTCAACTTGCTGACATAACTGTCATACTAAAATTAGTTGCACAGATTTGCATAGTCTTGAATTCCATTTTCCTGAACTAGCAGAAATCTCTACTGGGATATTTGGCAGTTTCACAGTTACCCTCACATAAAATAACTGATTCAGAAATACAAGATTTTTTTTCAAGATATGAAAATCTCCTTACTATGCTGTTACAATTATTTTCCCCCTCAGGGAAATAAATATATCTTGTCTATAAAACAATTACAATATCCATTGAACTTTTAAAATGTACTATTCCTCACAAATTGCTCGTTTCTTTGAGCAATGCCCTGTATGCTGAAAATAAATAAATACAGAGGAAATTAGGTGGAAAGGAGCATAAAACTGAAAAAATACATTTAACTATTTCACTTTACCTTCAGGAGAAGACATGTTTAAACTAACACATTCTTCACAAAAGCAAAGTAAATATTACAACTAATATTTGAAAACTCTCGCAGCATGGCTATGTCATATGCCAAGAACACTAACCTCTACAAAAATAAACTTCAGCAGTGGATCCTGGTTTTTCACTGTTGCACTATATGCTGCTCAGACGTATGAAAACTAAAGGAAAAAGCTTCATATTGGCAAAATAGAGCTCCTCCTGACTTGAATTAGCTTTGAAACGTCTTAAAGTTCTCGTAATTATACGTAATTGATGCAGACAAGCCCATCAGCTTTAGGACAAGGGATGAGAAGTACATGGAAGCAGTCTGAGATGAAGGAAAGAGGAGCCATCGTGGATGGGAAAAGCACCCATGACTGCAGCAGCTACTTAATGATGTCAAAGGTAACATTTTCACATCCTTGCCGGTGCTTAGCTTCCAGCAGGCCCCAACAGCTTGGGATGACCCTAGATGGGCAGCTTGGGGCCCTGCTCTCCAGATCACAGAGAGAAAACAAGTTCTGCTCAGACTGCTGTGCTAAAAAGTAGAATCTGAGCTCAACAATCAGAGTAAACAATTGTTCAAAGACCATCTGGGCACACAGAACAGATTCTGGTTCTTTGGACTAAAAAAAGGGCAGAATACTACTTTTAATGATACACTTGGAGCAGCTTCCAGCCACACCAGTGCAGAGGTTGGGAATATGTGTATAGGTTCCTCTGTCTGCTGCTTTTTGAAAGCTTGTGGTGGAAGGTGGTGAAATGAAAATTACAAACTTTTTTTTTTTTAAAAAAAAAGAAGGTAGGGAGAAAAATGCTAGTCTTTCATTTCCATCACTTTTTCTCCAATAGCAAAAGGTGTCTGCAGAGGTGTTTAATGTCAGTCTGTAGTGTGTCTGTCTGAGGTTTGCATCAGGATGCTTGGGCACTGACCCTGCTCTGAGGAGGAGTTAGCCAGAGGACCTCTGAGGAGTCTCAGTTACCCTCTGAGCATATGCCAAGTTGTGGCACTGTGCCTAACAACCTCAGGCAAAAACAGACAAAGCTTGTGCCCATTTTGGGTGGGATAGAAACCTGTTTCAGGAAAGTATGCCTGCAGGGTAATGGTATGCAAGGCTGCAGGCTGCAGTGGGGAACTTGTGAACTAGAGGAGACCAGAAGAGCTAGGTTATTCCAGAAAGGATGAATCAGATCCCAGTGAAAAGTTAAACACCTGGGCTTAAACACAGTGCTGAGCACAGTCTGAACTGATCGTGCCACAAGACTGGTTGTAATGCAAGCATACTGCAGAGAGGCAAGCTCAACTAGTACAAAGCTTTGTCTGTATCAGAGAAGATCGAACTTGACCTGGTAACTAGGGGGCTTAGCCAAGAAGGGCCTGGTAGGGGTTTAAAAACCCAAACAATTAAAACATAGTTTACAACAGGACAAATGAAGGTGATGTGAATGATTACTTTGAGCTCCTGTAGAGCTGCTGAACTGTAGCTGTCCCAAATAATCTGCAAGACTCTGGGCTAAACAAAGACACAAGGAGGTCAGAGGAAGCCAGTGACTTAAGTTGTCCTTATCATGCACACATCGTGTTAGATTCCTAATGGAAGGATTTTCTTCTTGAGACAAGCTAAGCATACATAGCAGTAGCTCAGATGCTGCTGCATTCCCTGTGCAAAGGGGCAGCAGCAAGAAGTCCTGGGCCAGAGTGACATGGGGACAATGACAGAGGGACCTGCCCAGCAGTTTTCAGCAAGAAAGAGTGTGTTCCTAAACTGTATGCACAGCCCACAAATAGGTGGAGCAGCAGCACAAAAAAGTGATCCAAGGGCTTCAATCTCAATGAGCTGCAAGCAGTAGAAAGATTTCTTACTGATTTCATTTATCTTTGGATTGAAGAACGTAGACAAAGACTATGGAATGTAGATTAATGTGAAAGCTTTAACCTGCTTCAGAGTCTGTCGTGTCATGAGATCCTTTTTCCATTCCTGTTGGTGATAGGCAGTTTTGCAGCTTTTTGTTGGGCTGAGAGCACAGAGGTTGAACAAAGGATGAATATGAAAATGATGAGATTTGTATTCACCCCGGATTTAAAATAAAGTTTTATAATTTCCAGGTTGTAATTTGCTGTGATTCCCTAAAGCAGTAGCAGATGAATCTGAACAGTGCATGGCCTGTGGTCTGTCCGCAGCATGCCCACATCGTCCTGCTCTCAGACATTCCCGTGACGGCCAGCCAGTGAGTCACTCAACCACAGCTCCTCATCGCCAGCAAAGGGAGCTCACCTGACAGGCAGTCGTACTCCTCCCCTCGTTCATGCACTCACTCACTTCTGCCAGGGGGGTTCCTCACCCCAGCACAGGCGGTGTCTCCACAGAGCTGTGCTGAAGGTCTCTTCAGAAGTCTCTCCTGTGATGGCTGGGGGCTGATTCACTAGAAAACAGATTTACAGGGCAGTGAAACATCACACGCAGCAGTTAGGAACAGCATGCACAGAGTCTCAGCTACATACATCTGCATTCCAATCTGTAAATAACTTGATGATGTGCCTCAGTGGTAAAAGGTCTGAGAAATTTTTGTTTGAATCACATGCAGCTGACTGCAAAGAGAAAAGCCATTCTCTTTACAGATTACAGTCAGCTGGGAAAGTAAGCATTCAGAGCAAATGCTCTTGAGTGATACAGCCCTTTTTTCTCATTGTAGTTTTGTTGAGTTTTACTCAGCAGCACACAGTGAAAACCCTCTAGATTCAAGATCCATGCATAGATGAATTTGGTACCTTTGCCTAAAAGATAGCAAATAGCTTTTGTATTCAAACTTACAGTTTTCGGATTGGAAAAAAAAAAGTGTTTCTATTCTTTTCTTTCAAAACAAGCATAGAACTTTCAAGGAGCACAGTTTCCACCTATCAGAGCACACACAATCTTGAACTGAAAATATGCAATCTGAAGAAACAAAGAACAACAATATTTGTACAAAAGCTTCTTGTCTATTTCTGTTCTAAGCACATCGATGGCTATAGCTGTCCTAAGATCAAATAATTCCTATACTCCTTCTAAGCTGACTTACCTGCAGTGTCTCTCATTTTCCATGAGGCCGTACCTATGGCTGACAGTGATCTGTATTCTCCAAAATGGCAAGTTTGATGATTCCCAGAGAGGTAACTCGCAAGAGTTTTTCAAGCAGAGGTGATTTAACAGCAACTGCAATTGTGAAAATGAGAAATTATGACTGCCAACTACTGAAAGTGAGAGAAACTCCCTCAGTAGAGAGAACACGAACAAGGACCATATGTAAGTCCTTAGCATTGATCAGCAAAAACAACGATGAGTTGGTTTTTTTGAGTGTTCACCAGTTTTGCTTAAGTACTATGTCACATTCTCAGGATCTATAAGAATCTTCTGTGATTCTTTACAGTACAGTTCATCAAATACTGATATTTTCTGTTTCATCATTTAAAGCAGCTTTTGCAAGCCATAACTGTACAGCTGTTCTTCAGTCAGTTCATCATCTTCATTATCACATATTTTTAACAGTCTAGAATAGATCTCTACTAAATAACTTAGTCCTGCTCAAAGATAGGGCTGACACGTTGAATTCCTGCTACTTGTTGTTCTATTATTTTCAAATTGAATGTTGATAAGAGTTTTTTTCTTAAAGAATTCAAGTATTGTTTTTAGTGCAGAAAGGATCTAGTTGATTTGACAGGACAATCAGACTGAACAAAGCTGTTTTATAAAGCTACACAAAGATTTAGTAACTTTAGACAAAAGATTCACAACAACAGTTTAAGTATTTCCTCATATTTGGAGGTAGGGTTTATATAAAAAAAATGAAGCTCCATATTCATAACTCATTTATTAGAAGTGTTTGTTTGGAATCTGCATCCAAATCTCATGTTCTCTCTCTCTCTTTCTGTGACCCCAAGGGAAGCAGTACATGAGGTTTACTTTCTGCTCTGCTCAGGAGAAATTGGGGAGTTCTGCTTAATTTATGCGTATTTTAGAGTGCTGTAAGAGCTCTGATCAGCAGCTTTGGTAAGTATGCCTTTTTCCTTTCTATTAGAACATGTTTGTATGGATTAGCTGAGGCTGAATTTGCATATAAAGTACCCCTCTTTAGCAAGTAATTTTCTGGAATTTAGCTCTTTCCAACTGTTTCTACAGTAAAAATTTTGAAGCTCACTTAAGTGTTGTTTACAGATAGATGGCTTATGATTCATATTAGGAATAAAACTCAAAAAAGTGTTTTGTCTGAATTCTCTAGGTTTTGCATGGAAAAGAACAGCGCTGCAAGAGCTGTAACAGATTCTCTGCTCCTCAAAGCAGGGATCATTTTTTTTTATTAAATTGTTTGGTAAAAGTCTGCTGTAAACAGATGTGTAATGGTTTGTCTTAGGTACTGAAAAGAAGTCACTGTGACCACCTAGTTAAATACTATATATATGCTGAGCACTGCATTAGCTAGTTTTCACTAGTTTTAAAAGAAAGATGATTTAAGGCATCTTTTTCTTCTCTTGCTGCGTAGTACTCTTCATTACATGTCAGCCCTTATCCTGTAACATGAAAGCTTATCTTCTCAGCAAAGGAGGCTTTGAGTTCTCTCTCACTGGTAAAGTAGTTTAGCACTATGCCAAACTGGAAACTTTCACCCTTCCCCTGGGGTAAATAAAATCTCTATAGCAAGAGTTCAAGTCAAGCAAGTTCTTTGCTAGTTACTCTTTCCATGAGTCACACACTTCTCCAGAATCTGCCCAGCTCCTTGTTTCAGCAAAGCAAGATCAACATAACCCTAATTGTATTTTGTAGCTGAAAAGGATACTAATTTCTAATACTAACAAGAACAAAAGCCCTCTTCAGTTACAAACCAAACTTTTTGCGTCTTTGCCTTCTGCAGTTTCTTTCTTCACTTTCCCATAAAGCTTAGCTTTCCTCTCGCTGTTTTCCTAGGTCTGGCTCTCTAATCAAAACAACGTGCTTACCTTTTAAGTTTCTCACATAGATTATTTCTCAGCAGCTACCAGTCTAACAAATATTTTTCACTGGAGGGAGATGCTCTTCTTTTCTTAAGCTATCTGGTCACACATGCATTAAGGAATTACACTGGTCACATGATCATCCTCCACAGTGCTCCAGTGCATAAGGCTTAGACTGAAATCAGCAGTGGTGTGGGGGTGTACATGGAGCTCGGTTTCAAGGGCCAGCACTGCCTGTTACAGCCCTCTTCTAATTTGTAATATTCTTACCTTGGGGAAAACTAATGCTCTTTGAGTATACTGCTGATCCCGCAATCAATTAATCTTGCACAGTGTCTTAACTATTCTATACAGCCATTGTTTCCATATTCCAAGAAGAATAATAAACATTATAGGAAAACATATTTTTATTTTTATAATTAAAAGAAAATCGGAAATAGTATCTCAGAGGGTAATCTGTTTTGTCCATAATGGGAAATAGAGGACAATGAACAGCATCTTCCAGGGCTATGTATTATGGCACATGGGAAACCTTTTTTGAAAAGTAAGAAAACATGTTTGAAAGTACAATGAACATTTAAACTGAGCGTGTGGGTGAGAAGCTGTGAGCTAGTTTTCGTCACTGATGGTGCTGATTCCACATAATATAAATCCATTTGAAATACTGTGCAGAGCAAGCAGAGTGGTCCCAATGGTGAGGTTTGATTTTTATCAGGTATTATGTGCACCAAGGTCTGTGTATTGTCAAAGAGGATCTTGTCATAGACAATAATCCCACTGAAGCTCTTGGAATGTTTTCACAGTTCCATTTTCCAGGATATCCTCAGAAATAAAGCTGGTGATGTCTAGGCATTGTGGAGGATGAGTTATATTCTCCTGACTCTCAGTAGTAGGTTAAGTCACTAGGTAGCCTGTTGAAATGCAGTTACAGTAATATTTTGGCTGCCTAAATCTGTAATGTAGAGATGTTCGGAGTCACAGGTTTATGAGTGCTCTATTGTAATGCAAGCTATAGCGCAATGTACTTTCAACTGCAGGCAATTAATTATTATTTGTTTATCCTTATTTGTTTTACTAGGCCTCTTTATTCCTACCTACAGCTTTTTTTTACAACATACAAGAATAAGCATTATTAGCATTTATATCTAACAAATGCCAATATACTCAGAAAAAGAGCCAAGCACCATAAGAGGTTTTGCTTTGTTTCAAATGTACAATGGTGTAGAAAATAAGCATATGTTTTCGGTTCCTTTTTATCACTTTAGAGTGTTGTCTGGCTTTTCCAAACAGTATATATAAATACTATTATATAACCCCAAGATAGGAAAGCACTTGTTTAAACATGTGCATGCCTACAGTATCATAATTTGCAGAGACTCAGAGTTGGCACCATGTTCTGACATGGAAATTTAGGGTTGCACCACATGTACTAAACAATTGCTCTAATGTTTGAAATACAATGGCCATACTGTTTTGTTTCCAAGTTCCTTTAGGAAAAATCAGTACAGAGTTTTTGGTACAAAATTACCACTCTAGGTACAATAGAAAAGTATTCAGTGTATTATTTCTAAATACAGACATTACTTACAACACTGTAAAAATAAAAATAATTTTTAAAATCCTTTCAAATTAAAGCTTAGGCAGAACATTTCTAGTGCTACTTGGGACTCTGAGATTCAGTAGGAACATAGAAGTAGCCTGTGGATGCAGAAGTCACAGGTGGAAAGCTGAAACACAAACAAACAAGGCCTCTCTAGAAAAAAAATAAATCTCCAAGTTAAATATGCCAGTTTCATTGTTACGAACTACCGAGTTGACCAGGCACCTTGTTCTACGACAGCCAGAGGAAAACAGGTTTTGGTACCGTATTGAAAGGTAACAGTGGAAAGAGGGAGGAAAACAGCCTGGTAAAAGATAGCTCCCGGAACTGGATGCAGTTGCACCATGGATGGCTGTGTAACTCTGCACATCCTGCTACTCTGTCAGCCCTCAGAAGTTCTCACAAAACCTCAAAGACTTTCCCAGCTTAGTCTTGCAGATTTTGACACCTCTCAACCCCTCACAGCACTGTAGGGACCACAAACCAGGCATGTCTGCATATGAGCTGAAATAAGGCAGAAAGGTTTTGATGATGTATTTATACTAATCTTGTATCTTGATAGGAAGTCATCTCTCGGCTTTCCTGGTGACCAGAACTGTCATCTAGTCTCAGGAAAACCTACCTGTATGGAAAAATTGCACTGACCAGAGTTCCACGTACTACAAAAGAACACAGCAGTCTGTCAGGAAATTTCTCTGCTGGGCTATAAGAAAGCAGCTCAGCTGTTCAATTTTTTTCCTTTTTTTTTTTTTCTGACAGACTTGAAAAACGTGAGCCAAAAATCAATCTTTGTAGCTGTAGAGAAACTCTATGGTCCCTGTTGGATGTGGCTCTGCTAGAGAGAAACTACTGATAGAGTTAAAGGAATGCTACAGCAATTACTTGTGCCCTGCACTTTAGTAGTTCTCAGCAATAACTCCACAGCTAACTGGGTTTAAACTGACACTGCTATGGCACCCCATCTGCCCCAGGTTCATTTTTAATGCTGTCTAGTTCTATTAAGCAGCTAATAATACTCGCACCTATGCAACACTTTTCCTTTATAGACTACAACAGACTGACACAGCTGTACCCCTGTTTCACACAGGGGAAAATTCAGGGGAAGTGAAGCCGATGCTGGACTTTCTAACGCATGCTGCAGTTTGGGTGGCAAGAGGCTGACGGATATTACTTGTTTTTTTCCTCTGGTGTGCTGGAAAAGGGTTTAATTAGCCACAGCAGACTTCAAGTGTGCAGGCACTTACAGAGCTGCAGGGTTCCCACACATCCTGCAGGTGCAGCCTCGTGCTTTGGGCGCTAGGGGCTCAGCAGGTGCCAGGCTGCACCCTCCCACCATGGCTCGTCTCAGCCCCAGCACATCACTGCAACCTCCACAGGTTGGTGTCAAGTCAAAAAGCTAAGGAGAAATAAAAAGGAGGGGGTTGCACAGCCTTGGAAAAATTGTGGGTGGCCCAGGGGGAGGCAGAGAGGGAGGCTGTGTAAGGAACAGGGTACGCAGTGCTGAAACTTGCAGGATGGTGAGTGGAAATGCATTCAGGGAAAAAAGAGAAGGGGGACACTCTTCTACCCAATATACTCAAGTTTCAATCCAGCAAAAAATGCCATTTGAATCAGGGAGCTGGAATACAAATGAGGTGCAGTGTGCACCTGCACCAGGCAAAATGTCAATTAAAGTTGTGCGGGCAGATTTACACCTGGAATTCCCTATTCTGAGTGCCTGAATTGTATGCCTGAATTGTGCAATCCTAAAGCTTTTCAGCACTGACATCTGTCTGCATTCCTGCCCTGTGCTGGAAACAGTTATAGGTTGGTTCTCCTGATTATTATGCCCACGTAGGTGAAAGCTTAACACAAGAGGAGGCTGAGCTCCTACCACTGCATGTGAACAACGACCATAAGGCAAGATTCCAGGGCTAGATGGGTCAACAGTATTTTTACAAGCAACCCCACATCATCTAATTGTCATCATACACAGATCAACTTTCATGTTCACAGAATGGAGAGTTTTGGCCCTATTACTTCCTTGTAAGGCCACCACTGAATTTCAGTGCTCTGAATCCAAGACACCATCCTCTTCTAAATTCCAGTCTTAATTTATCCACAGCCAGTTTATATCTGCTCCCTGCTTTTGGTGTGAGAATTTTCTGTCCATCTTTCTGAAGTTCAGGGCCTTTCCAGAGTGGGTAACAGGTATGCGAACTTAAGGACCAGTCTATTGGTACGTCATGCATGGGTTAGTAGTAACTGCTACGTTGATACAGTATTCTGTATTCACACTTTCTACAGCTTGCAATTCTAACTAAAAATGTATTAATTTCCTTTACGGAGGTGTAGACAGTGTTCTTGCCTTCAACTACTGATTTTAATTAACGTTACAATCAGCTTTAATGTTTAAGAATTATTTTAAGCAGACTAAAAGATTTATCAGTTAAATAACTAAGCTTTAGCCTTAACAAAATGTTTACATAACAGGGAATTAAGGTTTAAATAACATATTAGTTTAGAGAAATCACACTTCATTCCTAAGAAGACACTAAATATGCAAGAAGTTAGTTTGATAGGGAAACTTATCACCTTAAAACAAGAAATACTGGAAAGTAAATAGTTACTTGATAAGTAATCTTATCGAGGCTTGTGCTGAACAAGAAATACATGTTAGGCCCTTCGGTTGAGTGCAATATAGTTTTTATGTGGTTTAAGTTTCAAAGCATTTGTATATTTACTAGTTAGATTGATAGGTCAAAAAAATCAACAATGAACAAAAGTATACCCTAAGAATAGGCTATCATGCTATCATTCTTACATAGCATATGCATCCAAATCCTCCGAAAAACATAATCTGACTCTCTAAAACAGTTACAAGAAATCCACCAGCAGCTGCCTAGGTTCTGATTTGTTTACAAAATTAGATCATTAATTTAGGTGCAACTAAGAAGGTAAATTTGGCCCTCCCAGTTTAAATCTCAATCTTCAAGTAATGTTCCTGTTCCGTATTTTGTTACGATACCCTATTTACCAAGAAATTCTGAGTTGCTGGAAAGCTGTGCTGTCAAACAGTTGGCACAGCCAGTCAAATGCAGGACTTTCTTTTTAAAATTAATATTGCTGTTTGAGGCCACAGTGTGTGTGTGGCTCTAACTCAGCTGTTCAGGATAAGGGAGTGGACAAAGGCATGTCCTGCCCTCTCAGACCTTGCTATACTGCTTCTGCTTTGGGAAGTGACAGAAGGGCACAGGCTGGGGGATGCTCCTGGGAGCTGACGGACAGAGAGACTTCCGTTTCCTCAAAGCTTCTGACCTCTTATTGACGTGAGCCCAGGCCAGGCCAGGAACACGGGGTGCGGTGAGGAAGCTGTGGACCACAGCTCAGCTTCACTGCCCATGTGCCTGCTGGATGAGGGGTTGCTCCTAGCAGAAGCAGGCCCCTCTGAGGGCTCCTCTCCAGGACTTTTCCTGGAGACTAAAAAGTCAGTCGTAACCACTGTAGGCAGAGAAAAAATTCCTGCCTAGCAGCTAGGAAGGGGAAACAAGAAAAAAAAGTACAGGCACCCCCCCACCCCCTTTGAATCTTCAGTGACATCTGAGTGAGTGTACATAAAGAAGAACGCTGTTGTAACTCTGTCAGCATGGGAAAGCAGGCAGAAGGCAGGGAGCATGCACACGGGAGGTACATACAAACTCCTAAAAATAAGAGCCTATAAATGCACTCCAGAGTCAAAAGTAAGTGAAATGTTTTCAGAAAATTCTAAAGGGAAGAGTGGAAGAAAAGCAGAGCAGCCCTCTGGGAACTCTGCTTTCTTAAGTCATAAAAATCTCTGTTTTCCCTGTCTGGAAAAGTTGTGCACAATGCTCAGAACAATATGTTTTTATTTTCAGCCTTTTAGACCAAATAGCCATGAAAAAAAAGCTCAGTGTAAACTGCTATGAGTGGGCAAAAAGTCCCGCCTTTTAGTTTTGTGACACATTTTTAAAAGCTGGAGTTTGAGACACAAAAGTAAAATCATTAAACAAAATTAACAAATAAACAGTGTATTTCAGAAATGCATCTATTTAACTAAAACATGCTTTCCTAATTGCTGTAGGTTTTTTATGCCGTATGTATAAATATTTCATGTCCATTTACGAAATTCACAGAAATTCAGAATCTCAGAATGGTTCAAAAATGGAGATGACAAATGTGTTATTAATAAACCATACAGATATATTTTACTGAATGAAACGGCTTGAAAACAAGCCAGACTTCCAAAATGGAAAGCAAGATACATTTTTTGCTCCTCTTTTTTTTCTTTCTTTTTTTTTCTTTTTCCTGAAGGCATCCGACTGTGCAGGAATGCTTTGTGGAGAATTTAAAGACGGACAAATAATCAAAAACTTGGTAGAGGACAGAGCAGCAGACTGTATTAATTAAACCACAATTATTTTTGTGGCACTACTTGGTCTTGCACGGCCATGCAGTATATTCACACATATTGTGTCTAATCCTACTATCATGAGATAGACAAAACTCTAGACAGCAGGAATTTGGCTTGGCTAAGTCAAGCACAGTGACTTATTTCAGATGCTGATATCTGCTTCTTAAAAAGAAGCATTGTTAGCTTTTCCGGTATGTTCTATAGCCGGACTGAATGAGACTCAGATTACGTGGGTGTGCTCAAGGGAAACCTTTAGACAACACCCAAATATTGCAGACATTTATAAAGCCATTAACAAAGCTTTGCCTGGATGTGTTGCTGCATCTCCAGCTGAACTGGGTCAGAGACTGAAGCCCCTCGGAACCCTCTCAGCTGCTCCCTGTTGCTTTCTCCTTTTTCCCCTTCCAGAGATTACCCTCCTCTGAGATCTGCCTCTGTCACTGCATGCGTAGGTCGACATTGTGA